TCAACAATAAAACTCATAAAGACAAAATCCAATGATTAACACTACATAGAATCGCAGTTGAAAATGTGAAATAAAACTACAAAAACTGCCTCTGTTCCATGCCAACAACACTGGCTACAAATAACATCTTTTGTCATTTAAATTTAAATACTTCATTACCAGGATAATAAACAAACTTAACACTCCAACATTAAGCTGCGACCACTTCGGCATCCCCTTCCATTGCGACATCTTCCCCAGGCCTATCGAGCTTAACGCCAATATCTTCCTTGTAATCTCCATGAACCTCCATGAGTTTTCCAAGATCAAACTTTGGAGCCTTGAGGATCTTCACCTTGCGGATAAATACATTCTGCAGAGGGTAGATGCTTGTTGTTGCCTTCTCAATCTCCTTACCTATGACCTCGGGAATGAATTTCTGCACCAATTCCTTCAGATCACATGATGAAGCTTGATTCGACATGATCTCCCTCATTTTGCGACGAATCTATTAAAAAAAAAAGATGAGGAAATTGCACAACAGATACAGAAGAACATGTCCATAAATGGTTAGGAAACTGAAATGGACTTGTACCTGTCTTATCTGACTACTCTGAGCATAGCAAGTACGCTTTACTTGATTTGGCCTTCTCTTGGTGAAGCCAATGCAGAACAATCGCAAGGTATAGTTATCAGTAGTCTTCACATCAATATGAGCTTCAATTAATGTCTGCCATTTGCGAACCAGAGACCTGAGCTTGTCGGTGGTGAAATCCATGCCCTACATAGCCAGCGCGGAAATGATAACAAAGTTTTAATATAGAAATATAATTGATTAAGTTCTGTTGTTCAGAATTACCCAAAAGTTTGTGAGAACATTTTTGCCTTGGACATCCTCTGCACGAAGCCTAATCTTTCTGTATGCCTGATCCTCGTCATTCTGAAGATCAGCCAGGGAGACCTCAAACACTCTATGCTTAAGACCTTCAGAAGCAATCTGTGGTACAGAAAAAGTGAAAATAGTAACAGGTGGAAGCCAATAATTAATAATTAGGTAGTTCATTCATTAATGATTGAAACATGCTGTGGGCATCAACCAAACGTTAAAAAAACCTCAGTTATTTTTACAAATTCTCCGTAACAAATCTTTTATCATTGCAGTAACTCAGTAGGTGAATCCTTCTCTATGACAATTTAAACGAAAAATGCCATTTGTAATATCATGTTAAGTTATTTAAATATGTCAATGATTTCATTCACTGGTATCTTCATATAACAATTCAAAATGGCAATCATGTCCTATTTTTACATGTCAACCATTACATCTTAAGAATCTTATTATTGTATTTTAATAGTTATAGGATTTATATCTCAATATAATAGCACTTAACCAAAGACAATATTTGATAGATGATATTTACTTCTTAATAGCCCTGATATCTCAAACATATTGAACCAAATATTATCTAAAATAACATCTACTTGAGAATTTTAACTGTTAAGACCAGCACATCATTAAGATGCCATGGCCAAAAATACCCCACGGCAAGACCCTTCTAAAAAAAAAACTTTTTCATAATATACATATAATATATAATAAATGAAATACTGGAAGCAACCACGTAATTTAGTGAAGATGAAAAGGACAACATCCTCCACATTATATGCTAAATAAATGTAGATGTTGTATGCAAAAGGTTAAAAAAAATTCTAATAACAAAGTCTTAATTTAAAACGAACTAAATAAGAAAAAATACATATATGAACCAATCATAGCAATTTTAGAAAATTTAAAGACAATATGACATAATAGCATAGATTATCACATGACACAAGCACAATACATGATTCAGAAAATGGAGAAAAAAAGGCAAGCAAAAACAAAGAAACAAAAATTAGAAGAATGATAATATGGCACCTTATGAAGAAATGAGATATCACAAATAATGCATCAACCACATACACGAGTTTTAAAGTGCAAGCAAGAAAATTTGATTGTAGCTTATAGTAAGAACATACAAGGTTTTCACAAAAATCAGCAAAACATTACAAAACTCATGAGATGTGGCATTATATCATAACCCAACAACTATGATAGGATGAATAGTTTTCCATGTCTTTAACAATATTTTTTGCAAAAACCGAGAACACATAAGTGTAGAACATCGACCCGTAAGAAGAATGGAGTGGGCACATCATACAACTTTTTTTTCCTTTGCATGTGGAGTTACATGAATATGCTATATCTGTTGCACCCTCCTATAGTGGAATACTACTCTTTGGATGGCTAAACCAGTTCCAGTTCTACATGCAGGGTCCAGACATATTTCAGGTCAGTGCATATAGCATATAGCATATAGCTAGTTGAACAGAAATGGTGCATTCAATATATTTGGCTGACAACTAATCTATCATCCAAAAAAGTGCATTAAAAGCAAGTAAAATCATAAACAGGGTTTTAAAAAGTCTGATTGGTGGATACATGATGATTTCCGATCAAAAGGCACTAAACAATTATAATATTCACAAAAACAATTATCTTATTCACAAAAACAATAGCTTTTTTGACAATATTCACAAAAACAATAGCTTTTTACCTACTCTATTACAATATTTTATTCAAAAAATCATCATATTATACTCTCTAAACATACTACTATAGTTAAAATAATTTATTTTTTTAGCACCTCACTTCGCTTGGGTGCATGCCAAGGCTGGCTTCTAACACCTTCAGCATTAAGCAACCATATAGCCTGAAGGGAGCCTAATGCCTTTAATAACATTACTGCAAATAAATACAACATGAATGATTTTTGTGGTTGCAATCATACTCTTCTTTTTGGTTAGAACCTTATTCACTTATCTTATATAGACAATCTCTTCCCTTAGCTTTATTAACCAACGTAGAAGAAGAAAAGCTTTCTTATAATTTTTAATTTTGGACATTTTTACTCAAAATTAAGTCTCTAACACCATTCAATTTCAACTTGCAAGGCTCATATAAACTACTGACCACTGTCATAATCTCACTAATTATCATGCCTTGCTAATATAACTTTTGAATAGCAATGAAAACTACTTTTAAATCAGAAAATTCATCAATTAATTTCAAATCCAACAAACTCATATCATATGCAATCAAGTGAAATCAATGATATGTTCTATATAAAGTCATATTCTACATCATGAAAACCAAGCATTTCCACATCAGATATACACTGTTTAACATTGATTATCCTATTTAATTAGCAATACTTTCATCACTCAAGTTGTGCTCTTCGCATTTAATATGCTAAAGGCAAAGCACCTTATATCTGATAAGCATATACGACACTAAATGCATGCTAGCTTTACATCCAAAAAAAGTTAGCTGAAGGTTTTTATACAAGTAATGTCCACTTTGTATCTTCTAATATAAAAAAAACTGTTAAATTAAATTTGATGATCTTCGCCTAGCCATTATTATTCATAATTGCTCCAACTTTTACCTCGTAACCTCATAACTAACTTTGATACTAATTGTAGATATTATAAAAGAGCTAATCAAGATTGAAAAGTATTCCAATACACAATCAGCATAAAAGACAATTGGCAAGTTTTAATGAGGTAATTAGCCTACATCAATAATATATATATATATATATATATATCAAAATTAAGAATAGTTTAGGTCTTCTGAAAAGAGGATCCTAATATTGAAATTGAAAAATTAAAAAAATCATAAGATGTGACCTCATTAAGATATAATAAAGTATAGTTTTGATTGCCAATAGTGAAACAACTTGTTTAAAGCATGGTTATTATCTGATACCATTACTAAAATAACTCCAACAACATCACACCGGATCCACAAGCACCAACAATGTATCAACTATTAACAAAAAATAGAGCCAAGTTACTTTAAATTCAATCATCCTAGCTTATTTTTTGTGTCTTCCTGATGATGCACAAAAACCTCAAGATGCTAAAAAAATCTTTAAAACATTCAAATAGTTTCCACCATCAACACCACATTGGAGTCTCCATGGATTTTCTAACCACAACACCCCTTTGTGCCTTAGCAATTGGATAGTAATCTTTCTAATCAACTGCTACAAACGTTGATTGCTCACAAGAACAAAGATGGAAAAAGCCCGTTGATGAGAGAAATTAACCAAGAAATAGCTTTAAGGATAAGCATTCATTTTTCCCATTAAAAATCATGATAATAAGCATTTTCGATGGGCTGGCTGCGCGTTGCGGTAAGGCAAGGGGATTACTATCTCATATATGATTTAAATAAATTCCTACACTCCTTCAATTTGTGTTTATCAATGAGAAAAAAAGGATACATTGTAGCATCACCTAATTTCATTCATGAAATACCCAAAGTTAACATGAGATACTTGTTGAAAAGTTCTGTAAGTACAATTGCAAACAAAGTACCAGACCTTTCAGTATGGCCTTATTAAAGGTCAATTACACAGACGTTCATCGTTCTCTACTAGAAGACTTCTAGGCAAAAGTTTTTATCAGAGGCACATTTAAGAACATAAAGGAAAAAACTGTTAACTTCAAAGCTTTCATCTAGATCAACCTATCCAACTAGTAAAAGGTAGAGATCAATTTGCTCGCAAAATTAGCAAAAAAAAATCTCATCTTCACCATAAACAACTCCGTCAATTTAATAAAAAATGGATCTAATTAAACCTCACCTTGGTTCCCTGCGTCCTCGACACGAGAGTCTTCCCGATATTCCTCACCGAAAAGACCGACGGAGCCTTGATGTCATACCAATCCTTCTTCGAGAAAGGATCCACTCTGCAGAAGATCGCCAAATAAAAAAGATCAATGGAAAATAACAAATCTCAGAAAATTCATAATCAAAGAATGCGTTTAATGCTAACGTACGTCTTCTTCTTCCCGCCCTTCTTCCCCTTCGAGATCCTCTTGTTCTTCCTGGGAATAAGTTATCCGGCAAATCTTCAAAACAGTTCAAAGGCGATAATGGAAAATGTAAAGCTAACCAAAAGGAGAATCCTCACCCGACCGCCATGTCTACTTTCTTCTGCCGCCTGCAGCAATTAGGGTTTCAAGGGAAGTTCCAAAGAGTAGCAGCGGAGATGGAGAATGCGATTCTGCTTACTTATAGCAATACGATTTGTGATCTGACGGTGGAGATTTCCCCATCTAACAGGCCGTGATTCATTTTCTGCTAGTTAAGCAGGCCCTTAAGTGGGCTTTATTTTTCTGCCTCTTTTATATTCCCTAAATGCATTTATACTGTCTACTGTTTTGTATGTTTGTTTGTTTGTTTTTATTTTATTTTATTTTTTTTTTTTATTTTTTTGTGACGAGGAAGGATTGTCCTTAGACCAGTGAAAATCTCGGTCGACCTAGCATGCAACCCACACCAATTTACACGGGCCAATACTTAAGGCTTTCACTGCTTGTCAAGGGATTCGAACTAGGACCCTAGGCTTTGCCCAGCCGGCCCTCACCACCCGGACAAGCAATGGGTCTGTCTACCATATATGAGTATTTAAAAAATAAAGAAAATTTTAATTTTTATGCTATAAATCTAAAAATATGCTCATAATTGTTATAACAAAATCAGGTCAACAATTGAATGACTTACTCCCAATAGTTACAAATAGAGCTAATATATATATATATATATATAATCTCTATAAAATCTATGTATACTCATTTGATTATTTTAGAATGATAAACCAAATTATTTCAGAATAAAACTCCTCAAAAAATCATTTATATTTTCTTCGTTTTTTTTTATTTTTTTAAAATCTTGTTTGATTTTATTTTATTTTTTAATTATTTTACAACAAAAATTGCTTTTGACTTGAAGAAATAACATTGAATAATAGAAGCATAAGTTTCATTTGGGAAAACTACAACTATGTGTGAAAATTAGATGTTGGATTGTTGTTAAAGAAAAACAGAACAATGACTTCAAAATTTTATCATATTAGTTGCTGAATTGTTGGATTACCATTGTCAGATCGCCTCCATCAGACCATTGCTAATATAGCACAGTTGCTAGTCTTTTGTCGTTGGACCACTACTGTCGACCTTGACTTCAAACTGTCACCGTCAAACCTCCTCCAACGTCGAACTACACCGCCAAATTCTATTATCGAATCATTTCTGCTCGACTACCATCAATGGATTGTCCCCACTTGACCTATACCAATGAATAGCTGTCCCTTAACCCCCATTGTCAGATCACCATTGTTTAACCTTTGGTGTCAAGCCATTGTTGCTTGACCTTCATCATTGAGTCTCCATTATCTAAACATCTCTTATCCCCTATCGACTCTACGATATTTTTCACAAAAAACTCATATTCTTGTAATTGAACTTCTCCAAATTGGGATGAGCAATGCTTTGTAATGAATGTCTGTTGAAATTATTTTAACCAAATCACACCACAGGGTTTTTCTCTATCATGAATTTTTCACGTAAAAGTTATGATATCTCATGCATTCTCTCATTTTATTTATGTATGTATTAGATATTCGTACAAAATTGAGAAGCAAAACTCTTATATTTTGTTGCAACAAATTTTCTAACACGTAACAACAACCAAAACACAATACTGCTTATTAATATAATCATGCATTTTTACTTTCTTAATCCTATTGATTCATTGTAAGTCTTTTATAAAATCTAACTTATGAGATGAAAATAAGGAGAAGACATTATTTCCCTTGAGCTTAGGCTTAAATCTCTTAAGGAAATCTTGTTAGAGGAGAATGGCTTTTGTTAATTTCCATATTATTTCAACTATAGTTTATTGCCTCCATCTCATATTCATATATTTATCGAAGAGGATCTCTAATTGCAATTAAATGAAAATTTAATAGAATTAAAATTAATATAAACCATAACAAGTATCACATCAATCAAATCAAAACATAATAATCTCATCATTCTATGATCATTATACCTCATTTGACCCTTAATCAAATTTTAATGTCAATGCATTACCACAAAGGTATCCATAAAAGAGCACTAAATAAAAATTATGCATATTAATTGGCAAAATAAAAAAGTTACATGGTGATTGTTCATAGGTATATCACTTCGTGTTGACGGGTTCAGCTCGGTATGACCTAGAATGGACTTGACCCAAATCAAACATATTTATTATATTGGTCAAAAAGATTTTTTGGAAATCCAATTATCGTATAGATCACATAATTTCTTAGATCGACACAACCAGTTTTACCCAATCACATTCTGTTTCACTATAAAATATTTCATTTAATCCGAACTAGAATGATAGTCAGGTTAATTTTAAATTTTCAGGACAATTTGAACCTAACCCAAAAATTAATCAGATCAAAAGTTTGAACCAAAATTCGATCCAAAAATTAATCGAGTCAACTTGAAATTTAAGTTTCATGGTGCTTGTTTATAGGAATATCACTTTCGGTTGGCGAGTTGAGTTTGGTCTGACCCAAAATGGACTTAGACCCAAATCATAACCAGTTATTATATAGGTCAAAATATTTGACACAAATCCAATTATTCCAAATTTGACATTTTTATAATATAGATCACATGATTTCTTAGATTAACCAGATAAATTTTATCCAATTATAATCTGTTTTACCCTAAAATATTTTATTTAATCTGAGTCTGAATAATAATCATGTCAATTTTGAATTTTCAAGACAACCAGAACCTAATCAAAAAATTAATCAAATCAGAATTTGGAAATAAAATCTGATCCAAAATTTAATCGAGTCAACCTAAATTTAAATTTTTAGAATCTAATTATGGAATGTGATCATTCATTAGCCCTCCTAATTATTTGAATTTTGAATTTATTTTTGTAGATTTATTTCATCTAAGGCTTTAATAAACTTATATATTTTATGAGTAATAGTCCACTAACCTAATCACACTAAAGTCATATCTACCTATTGAGACTTTAAATAAATATGGTTGATTTTACATTTATTTAGTAAACCATATTTGGTGAACATTAGTGCAAAAGTCTTTTTTTATTCACAAAATTTATAAAATTTTTCACCAAATGCGTGGGACCCACCCGTGCCTATTAAGAAAAATTGTAGAGAATTTTGAAAATAAAAATAAAAATTATGACGGTTTAAACCAGCGCTTATGTTATTTTTATGTGAATATATAGATAAGTATAGAATTTTAAATATTAAAGATGTAAATACAGAAAAATTCTTCTATGATATGTAACACTTATAAGAAGAAAATGATTGTGTTTGTAGGAGTTTTATTGGAGGAATTAATGTAAAAATAAAAATTTCAGATTTTCTTAGATTAAAGTGAAAGAGCTATGATTAAGAAATTATGCGTAATTTTAATGTATCTTCGAATTGAAATTAAATTAAAATCATGTAAAATCTAATTTTAGCATATTTATAATGAATTCATTTAGATCCTACAAAGCTTACAGAAACATTCAATAAAGTTTTCATTGCATATTCTACAATAAAAAACTGATATGATTTTCATAGGAATAAGAATATGAAGTTTTGTTATACAAATTATTTCTGACTAGTGGATTCTCACCTACTTTCACCCTTTTTTTAATTTATTTGCCTGTTGATTTAAAGCTCTATTGTACAGGAACACAGCACTTCTTCATTTATAAACAAACCTAGAAATCACATTCTCCCACCTAAAAAGATATTTTGTTTTGAAATTTCTAAAATAATATGTTGGGGTGAGCTTCCAAAGAACTGGTTAGGAAGTGAATTAACCACGCAACGAAACAAACAATAGAAGAGAGTAGCGGAAATAATCATTAAGATTTTATGTGGAAAATTTTGAAATTATACGAAAAAATCATGAAGTCACATCATATCAAGAAATTCATTATGAAAATTGATAGAAATTGTACAAATCTCTCACTCTCAATCTCTCAGTGTCTCACTTCACTTTAATCTTCATTCTCTGCTCAAAACAGGCAACGAGACGCGCAAATATAATACAAAGTGATGCAACCGTTCAAATGAAGCATTAAAAACGAGAAAAAAAACTACTAGCTCGATGCACAGTGCCAAAACGCTGCACTCTATGGCTCTAGCCTAAGTTGCAGCGTGGAGGCACAAGCTATAAAGCGCCGCGACACTAGTACTACCGCGCAACAGTGCTCAAGTGTACAATACTGGAGTGCTCTAATATACAATTCTATACGATTGTATGTTAAATCGAAGTCTTAGTCAACAATACAACTTGGTTGATCAACACAATCATAATCCACTCAAAACTAACATAGTTTTTTTTTTTCAAAAAATTTATTGCAACTAAAAAAGTGGTTACAACAAGCTATGAAGCATAACGAGAAAAGTTATAGAGGTACAAAAGTAGGGGGTATTAAACCCATCAGGCTCGGCATTGGCAGAGGCTTCCAACTAATCCAAAGCCATGCACGGGCCATCCGGTTTGGAGTAAGAGAGTAGACATCCGAAGCGAGCAAAAAATGTACCACCAAAGGTTGCCACGAGCCATGACTTAAGACAAGCGAGCCCTAGCCACATCATTGCCCAATAACCATAAATCGAAGCCACAAAAATGAAACGAATATCCTGCAAATGATAAACAGAGAAAGGAAAAATAAACCAAAGATCCTAGCAACCAATGCAGTCCACAGCCACAGCCCAAATGAGATAATAAGCCTTCCAACCAAACAACAACACCAGGCACGGGCAAACCAGGTAAGAAACCAATAAGTGAGCCAAAAATCACCACCACATTCCCAAAGTTATTTCCTACCACGTCTGCCCCTCCCACGAGATGCAACATAAACTACATGTATGTCATGCTGCAAGGTAAAACCATCCCCAAGTTCTTCAATTCATCCCCACTAGACTCCGAAGAGAAATCAGACGAACAATGAAGCCAATCAATTTGCAATCTCACATCCTCCCCCATATTGTCCCCCACATGATAAATCAAAGCTTCATGTGATATTAAATTTACTAGAGCATCAACAAAGGAACCATTAACTATAACGGCAGGCGTCACAAGGGAAGAGACAATGGGGGCAATACTCTTTGATATCGAAATAGAGGAATCAGATTTCTCACCAAGCACACAAGGAACCTCAAACGAAACCAAGCCACACAGAGCAGGCACAGAAGTAGCACACGGCATAATAGGTTGCGGGTTAATGTCACAATTACCACCCCCAAGTTCACTAACACATAAATGTTGGCCATGGATGGCCGGAATAGACTCATCCACCACAGGATCCATAAGAACCACATTAGAAATAGGCCTACCATTAGAATCACAATCAACCCCATGGGACACTACAAGAAAAATGCTGATTTCCGGCGAAATTTTCGGCTGAAATAAATCCATAAAAAATCCCGACATATTTCTGGCAAAATTTTCAGCGGAAATAAGTCCGGACTCAATCAAAACACCCTCACCCGAAGAAGCATGATCCTCAACCAAAGCCACAGTAACAACCTCACAGCCAACAATTCCTAAAATCGGGTTAACCGAAGGGTTCGGGTCCTCCTCAATCATCACCTCATTAACAGCCAAAGAGGACACACCCAAAGCATAACTCTTAACATTCCCAGCTATAAGCATATTAGAATTAGACAGAGTCGTTGGAAAGTTTAACTAGCACATGCGTCTGATCCAACACCGTAACAGAGAAATCAGAATTAAGTTTCAGAGTGAAAAAAAAATAGCGAATAGCGTCCAGAGACGGACGACGCGTGGGGAAAAAACTGACCAAAGTGAATTGAAAAGGCACATCAAGTGCTTTAATTTCATCCTCAGAAATCCGCAATGATGGTAAACCACAAAAAGAGCCTTGATGGAGCTCAGGGAAACAATCCGACGAGGACAAACCAGAAAGGGCTTTAGCAAACAAACGTTATTTAAAAGAACCATTCAAAAGGCCCGAACCAGCAACCCGTCAGACCGCCATTCTGGCCACAAAGGGCCGGAGGAGGAGAGACGAGTGTGATGGCCCGAAAAAAAGAACGGAGAGAGGCGAACATAAAGAGAAAAAAGGAAAGGCAACTTCCCTGAAGATTCCAGCCGGATGCCGACCGAAAAACGGAGGCGGAGAGCATCAAAACCGCATCGGAAGAGCAGCTAGGGCGAAGCCCTAGCAGAGCAAGAGAAAAAAATCGAGAACTAGTGGTGTTTTTACAAATGCCTCATGCTAACTAACATAGCTTTGATTCTACCTTTGAATATTGCTATCTAGTTAAGAAAAGATCAATTATCATTAAAAAAAAAAAAAAAAACCCTCCAGAATCTTCGACTAAACCGTTCTAAAAATTGCATCGCTTCTATCTCACGCATGAGATGAAATCTTTAAATTTTAGAAGATAAAGACAATAAAATTTATCATCTTATCATGATCAACATATCTTCGACATATTTCTTTGCGTCGTTTCTAAGATCAAAGCTTCATAAAAATCTTTAATAAAGATTATTAGGATCTAAATATAGATCTCCAACGCAAAACATTAGCTTCACATGAGACAAGCTTCTTTAATGCAAACTACTCGTTACAGAATGTGGAGCCTGATCTGTCATAGCATTCATAGCACATCAACAAATAATCAGACCTCAATTTATTCGTTTTCTACTTGTGCTTAACGTCTGGAAGGTGCAGAACTGCTGAGATTCTTAATGGCAAAGTCAAGAAAGCTTGATGAATTTCTTCTATGAGGAATTGCAAACTTAGGTAGAAACATCAAATTTTTCTATCTTATTTTTTATGCACTTGGCGTTCATCCCTTGCATTGCTATTTTCTACCTGGTGATTAATTGATTTGATTACTTCGAATACTAAATATAATCTTTCATATTGAAATTTATCATCGCTTATCAACTTCAACGTATGTGCATATAGACTTATAATCCTTATCCACATTTCATGGCTCTCTCTCTTTCTCTCTCTCTCTCTCACGAGTCATATAAAATTATTAGGCATCGACTAATTATATAACTTATATGCAAGGAATATAAGAATAATGGAGTACATACTTGTGTACTTGTCATGTACTCTATTTTTATGGAGAACCCAATAAAGATATCTTGTACTTAAAATAGAGTAAACATAAGTGTACTTACTAATACATAATAAGTACACAATGGTGTTCCTAAGGCATCTTCATCTGAACTACAAACTTCCGTTTGCAGCTATCACGAGCCTCCAACCGAACGCCAAAAAGAAATGTATTTTGTAGCTGTGAACAGTGCGACGCCAATATTTATGGAAATTTTTTTTTTTTTATGGAAATGAAGATGAGAAAGAATTTACATAAAATCTCCTTTTTTTGGCGTTAGAAATGGAGTTGGTTGGAGATGAATTAATGTTTGATATAGCTATAATTGCATTTTGAAGTGGAAAAATGAAGAGTTCGATTGGAGATGCCCATATTACACAACAAGTTTATTACTGGGTGTTCATGTACGTTATCTGCAATTAGAGCTACTTACATAGTCCGCACCTAACAATTTTTCCACAGGTACAAATAATCAACAAATTAAGCTCGGAATCACGAGAAATTATTCTGTGTGGAGTCCGGACGGGAAGAACTGTCCGAACATATGAGTGTACACTGTACACATTATGTACAAAATCAGTGTACACAATGTGTGTACACTCACAGTCCGAACGATTCTTTCTGTCCGGACTCTGCATAGAATAATTTCTCCAGAATCACATATTCCTACTCCATTTCAACAACATTCTAGTGAATCAAACAGTGCTTAAGGCCTAAAAATTTAAATTTTTTAGGTGAGCACATATCACATAATATCTTCACATCAACTATTTTTCATGAATAAAACCAAATATAAATCTAACATTTCTTAACACATAATTCACTAATTTCCATCCCTAATCAGTCATATCTAACCTGCATGCTCCTTCAACTACATCATACTGCCATTCTTGAGGCTTGCACATCTACATTTTCCTCAGCTAGTTCAATATTTTTGCCAAACACTCTTTTCTATCAAAATTTTATCTATATTCATAATTAGATTATTTCCTGCAGCTGTGAGTAACGCAGAAATTCAGCCATTGCATGACTTTGACTGCTGCTGCAGATTGCGTTCAAGACTTCCAGTTCAGAAATGTTCATTTATTATTCAATTAACCTACCGTTCAAGTTTCGTCAGCTATCTCTTTCTTATTCTATCGCCTCTTTGTTTCATTTGGTGCTCAAATTGCTATTGTTTTTTCCCATTATTTGACAAAATCTCCATTCTAGAAGCTCTTGTAGATAGCCATGGCAAGAAAAAAAATGTTTAGAAGACTTCTGAACAATCATAATTTCTTACAGAAACAGCTAGCCATGTGATAACTGATGAGTTGTGGAGTTCATGAAGTTTAATCAGTCTTGTTCATACATTAATCTCATGAATAATCATTATTTTATTGTGCCTCTTTGTTTCATTTGGTGCTCAAATTGCTATTGTTTTTTCCCATTATTTGACAAAATCTCCATTCTAGAAGCTCTTGTAGATAGCCATGGCAAGAAAAAAAATGTTTAGAAGACTTCTGAACAATCATAATTTCTTACAGAAACAGCTAGCCATGTGAGTTGTGGAGTTCGTGAAGTTTAATCAGTTCTGTTCATACATTAATCTCATATTCTCATGAATAATCATTATTTTATTGTGTATTATTATTGATAATTCTGTTTAAATGTTGAAATAGATGATATTTTATTTTAAAAATTATATGAATTTATTTATATTTTGATATAAATTTTTAGTCCAATTGGATGCTTTATTGCAGTTTTATGATGAATTTTTAGGCTTCGTTTGGGATAGTTTATGCTTTATTATTTAAGGTTTTAAAAGTTCTTTTTTTTAAACTGCAATCTTAAATATAAAATTTTAAAAAGCTATGTAAAACTATTATCCAAACATACATTATTATTTACTTATTTATTTATTTCTAACACATAAAACTAATACATAAAATGTCAAAAAGCTATCCCAAATAAAATCTTAATCATTATGAGTTTGAAAATGTGTTATATGATAAAAATAATTAAATATTTTCATGATTTAGATATCGCCGTAGTAATCCTCCAAATTTTATATATTTTAAAATTTATATTTTATCATTAAAGTTTATGAGATTTAAAATACATACCAGTTTATATATTGCTATTCACATATCTAACACTCAAAATTTTAATATTTCATCCTTACCACTTACCACTAATAGACAATTTTAATATCAAATATGTCACTCCTATATTTCATTCCTACCAACTATACCAACTTGTAAACTTTAATATTTCATTCAATGCACCCATTATTGATCTACGAGTCATAGGTATAAAATATTAAAATTTTGTGTGTATATATAAATAGTATAATATAAAGTGATACATATTTAAATCTTCCTAAAATTTAATGTAAATGAATTTATTTTTCTAGTTTTATATTTCCATAATATTATAAATGTCTTTCTTATAGTGTTTGATATTTCTCATCTTAATTGGCCTAAATTTATATGATATAAAAGTTTCTCTCTTAGATATTCTATTTACTTACTAAATTTTATTAGAATTATAGCCACTCATTGAAAAAATTATTTTGCACGGTCGCCAAACGGCATTCAGATGTGAATGAGAAGTTGTCACGTCATTTTTTGCCGTGTACCGCTCAGTACCAAGTGACGTGACGTGTTCTAATTTATTTCTGGACCGTTTGATGACCGCACAGAATAATAAGGCCATACATTAATAGTGGTTATGACTTATATCGTGTGAACAATGAGACACTAATTAATTTACAATTTTGGTTAGCAGTTAGTAGTTGGTGTGCTTCAGCGCGTACCACCGCAGCGGGAAGCCGAGCTCCTCATAAGATTACAGTTCTGATCAACTTGTCATAATTTACATCATCAAACATTAAAAAATAAAAACAAAGAACATAAAAGAACAGCTCAGATCGATCCTCTCTAATTACCTCTTTCCAGCTCTGCAATTCGTTGAGCCGCTGAGTTTGAATCCGTCAAAATTATCAGACGAATTCAATCCCAATCATCAAAAATAAATTGAAGAACTGACATGAGATAATTGCACCGGTCGAGAAGATCTGAATCTTTAACAAATCACTCTTTCTTCGCATTATTAGTACCTCTCGGCGACCCCAATTCCTGAATCTTCTTCCCCTGACCCACCGCCGCCGCCGCCGTCGCCGTCGATAGCGTCCTCTTATCGCTCAACCTCTTAACATACTCCTTCTTCTTCGAAACCCTTCTCTTCTTTTTTTGATCGCCCTCATCACTCGGCACCAAATACCACCAAATCGAAGTACAGCAGATCGCAAACACTCTTCCGAACACCGCCAAACATACCAGAATCAAAACCATCATCGCCGGCATAAAATAACTCGATCTCCACTTCCACCACGGAGATTTATCGGACAACCTTCTGCCCACCTTATTCTCCGGCGCAGGTGCCGGCGTCGTAGCCGCCGGTGCCGGCGGCGGAACCTCCTCGTGCTTCTTCTCTCCAGCGGCGACAATTTGATTGTTGTTGTTGTTGCGATCTTCGCGGATCCGAACGATGATCGGGATCCAATCCTGGGAGTTGGAGTACATGAATCGGACCATGGAGATGCCTTGCGCCCCTGTGCTCGCCATGATTTTCTCTCTCTTGGCTTCGAGCTCAGAGAGAACGGAGGTGAATTTGTCGAGGCCTCTTGACGAATAGGGGTTTTTGTTTCTGTTGGATTTCTTCTTTGCGGCCTTCGGAGAGGACGACGGGCTGTCGTCGGCGTCGTGGTGGAAGCTCGAGGTGCCGCAGAACATTGCTTGGCATGTGAGAAGCTTTCTTACTTGCATATGGAGGGTTTGGCTTTTCGGAAGCTGTGTGTATATATAGTTCGGGGAAAATGGAAATTTCCCGATCAAAATATTTTAATTAAATTATAATCTTAATAAAAATTAGAATATTTATACAGTTATATATTTAATAATTAAAATCATTACAATAGTGATATTAAAATTTTAATAAGAATTATATGATATGTATGTAAATCTCTCAAAATAAATATTTAAAATATTTGAGTTAATTGATTATGATAAATTTAAATTTATTGAATTTATTTTAACATGATTAAAATAAATTTATGCCCAAATATTATACTAGGATATCTTGCATAATATATTTTTATTTTTATTAGGAAAATTTATTTAATTTATTTTAAAATAGATATAGAAATAAAATTAGATAATATTTAACTTAAATAAAATTTAGTTATTTAGAATATTTGAGTCAATTGAAATATTGAGATGGAAATTTGGGGGAGCTAAGTCAATTCAAAGGAGGAGATATATATTAGAGACTAATTGGGAGTGGTTATTAAGCTTGTGTGTAAATTTTTTGGCTGGCGTTGACTTGGTGTTTTGGAGAAATCAGAAATGTATTGCTATGGCTTTTTTATTGGCAAAGTAGTATGTGAAGCTATTTTGTGACTCTTTAAGATTACGATGACCTTTTTTTTTTTTTAAATAGTTTTCATTTAAACTTAAATGAAATAAAGGAAAAGACATCAAATATGTCGAGTGGATAAAGATGGAGAAAAAGATAAAATACATGATCAAAATCAAATACGATAAGAAAGTCCAAATTAAAGAATGTCTCTCACCGGAAAGATCATATAAGAAAGATAATTTAAAATAAAATTACGGGCCTCAAATTTTAGCTTAATCTCTATTTTTACCCTTATCCCAACATTTACTTTGGAATGGGGCAGCTCATCCTCTTATCCGGGAACTTTTATTTGGTCCGGTAAACGTAGGTAGAGCTACGTTCGGCCGGTACTAAGATCACGCCACGTAGCCGGCACAAAACGAGAAATACCGAGCAATACCAACAATAACGAGAAATATCATTATGTGAAGACAAAATACCGAGCAATACCAAAAAATACAGAGTTTTTTTCTAGAAAATCTCAGTATTTTTTAGGATTACTCGGTATTACTCGGTATTGGTCTTCACAGAGCGGTATTTCTCGTTATTGTCAAGCAATACCTAACAATACCGAGCAAATACCGAGCAAAAATCGAGTAACTCAGCGATGACCGCATGTAGAGCTACGTTCGGTCAGATGACCTAATAAAAGTTCCTTATTCGATCGGTGAGTTTTTTTTTTTTTTTGGAAAGGATTTGCCCAAATTTCATTAAAACGAAAAAGCGAATAAAAAATAAGATCCAAAAGAGGCCTAAACCAAAATTAGGAAGAAAAAATAACCAAAAACCAGTCAAGAATTAGCCATTGAGTCTTTTTTACAAGTAATTAGCTCGCTTTTCGCTATGTGTTAGCCCCTTCATTTCTTTCAAGTTGGAACTAGAATTTTCAATCTCTTTCTTACTCCTTTTCGCACATCTTTGGCTAGATTTTATTAATCTCCTTCTTTATTCTCTTCTCATGTGATGGTTCACTAGTTTACAATCTCCATCACACAACTTAAATTTAAACTTAAGTTATAGCTAAAACAACACTAAATAGTTTCACCCAATCCAAAAAAAAAACTAAGCTCGACTTATAATTTATGTTTGTTTGAGCATTTGTTTTATAAATAAATACTAAATACTCAATGAAATAGACCATAAGAATATGGGGTTATTTTTAATACTTTTAAAATTTTGGTAATATTTTCAACTCAAATAAAATTTACTTTTAAAAATTTTTCAAACAATTATTTTTATGCAAAATATATCATTTTCTTTATCATCTCATGTGTATCATGATTCAAAGATATTATTCATTGCATGTGTGCACTGGACATCGGCCTTGTATTTCAGAGACAACGAGCTTTGTGTGTATGAACACAATGCCCTAAATTCTCGCATTTTGAATTTTTGTTATTGCCGCATCAAATAGATTTTTATAAAGAAGCATTATAATCATTTTGATCAAGGGAAAATTTTTCTATGACACCTCCATCAATCTCTCTTGATTATAAAATAATTTTCTGAGATCAAAATTGAACAATCTTCAGACTGAATCGAGATGTACATTTTATTTATATATTTACATAAAACAAATTTTAGATAAATACGAAGCCGGTTCTAAAATTTTTTAATATAAATATTTTATTAAATTTTATAATTAATTAGATGAACATTTTGATAATTATGTTATTTTATCACAAGCACAATAACCCTATTATTCTTTATATAGTATTGAGATTATCTTGCACGCCAAGCCTAATTTCCCCTTTTTTTTTTCTTATTTATTTTGGCTGACTTGTTCTACGAACTCATGAACTTGACCGTAGTTGATTTTCCGGCCGGTGGGGCCAGGCGACAAAGTCTTATTAATTTGTCATATTAGGCTTAGTTGATTTGTATTTTGATAAAATTCCAAACCTTCGAGAAGGACTTTAGTCATCGGGCACTGATATTTACTATGTTTGATTTATACTGAAAAGGTTATTAAATGTACTGACCATACATTTTAATAATTATTTGATATTTCTTATCAATATCATAATCATAATGATTAGCCTAATTCATTAAATGTTTATCGGCCATTTGTTTAATTAGTGACGAAAATTTTCGAGATTAGATAGAAAGGACACTCATTAGTTACGATAATTCGTTACATTATCTGGTGTTTGATTATGTGTAAGAGTATGAGTTGGCAAATATTTGGCCGGATAAGAAACTCATGAGTCAAATTTGAATAAATGAGTTGATACATCATCAAAAAATTATCTTGATTGGGCATGAATCTCAAGGTAAAATCAAGTTGGAAACTTCCGAAGTTAAAATTGGGGCCATCCAAACTCTGATTTCAGCAAACTTATAGTCAAACTGAACGTCTCAAAAATATGAACCCAACGACACCAAATTCGAGTCAATTTGAGCCCAAATGGATCCAAATCAAGAACCGAAGCGCTATTGGAAGGTTTAAACCACAATTTGTATCACCAAACGATTTCCAAACATAACATGCTTATAGTCGAATAGAGCGGCTCGACGAGACGAATCCAACGAGCCTAAGATCGCAAAATTCTTATAACATTAAGACATTCAAATGCTCATTAAATGGTCCATGATCAAGGGATCCAACATCGGACGTCCATCTAAACAACTTTCAATTTTCCCTTAATCTTACTTCTATTTACGGGTCATGCATGCCACTCTAAAAAATATACAAATAGACCCCTCACTTTTCACGAAGGGGGACCCCAAGCCAAAAGAAACAAGAGAGAGATCGGAGATCGCTCTTGCATCATTGCCTCTTCGACCATTGCTCAGAGTTCCATTGGACCACCACCTTACACTGCAGTTCCGCCAGACTACCACCTGGCGCCCGGAGTTCCGTTGGACCACCACCTAACGCCCAGAGTTCCGTCAGACCACCACCTGACGCCTAGAGTTTCGCCGGACCACCACCTGACGCTCGAAGTTCTGCCGGACCACCACATAACGCTAGAGTTCTACCGACCACCACCCGTCGTCGAAGTTCTTCCAGAACACCAACTGTCGTCTAGATTTTCGTTGGACTTTTGCTGGATCACCGCCAGATGCCAGGCTTCAACCAGATCACTAACTAAAAGGCCAAAATTCTGTTGGACCACCAAGTGACGTCGGATTTTTATCCCCTTTTGTCACTAGACAACAATCATACGGTTCGATTTGTAATATGATTGCCCTTAATGGCTAGTCAACCCATTGTACTAAACTCAAATTCTAGTGAACTCATTTTTAAATAGACTAGGCCCCTTGATTTTTCCCACTTCTAGGGTTTTACACATAAAAAATCTTGTATTTTCTATGTGTGAGCTGGATATACGTACAATGCTAAGACGTATAACTATAACTAATTATAACTCTATCGCCGCGTATATTCTAGCCCGCAATAAAAATATATTATCTTGTTAGGTTTGAGTTTAACTTTTTTACCCGTTTATTAAACTGGTCAGATTTGAGTTGATTGAATTTGTATCGGTCAATTTCAGGCCAGACCCAAACCCTACCCGTTTATCCTTTTTGACACCCCTGGCTTGGACTCCACACATTAGCTTGAGAGCATGTCCATTTGAAAAATAGTAATATAAAATACCCGAATTCAGGAGTTCAAGTATAAACTTATTAAAAATATTTAAAGAATATCTCACTTTATTATATCAAATGATTCTTTATTCTTAATCTTCTAATTTCTTTTTTTTTTTTAATAATTGTATTATAATAATTATTTGAATCATAAATATTTGTTCTCTTTCGTTATAAATAAGCTAGCTCATAAGCCAGCTCGAACTTACAAAATTAAGCTTGAGCATAAACTCGATTAATTAATCAAGCTCGGGCTAAGCTAGGGGACTAGAACTCATCTTGACTCATTTATAGCCCTAGTTACGCAGCCCATTTTTAACTTTTTTTATTGATAACACGTGTTCAATAAAAACTTAAATTTGAAGCTTGTATGTGTCAAGTGTGTGAATTTACAATTTAAATCTCTCAAAATTATAAATAAAAAAACTCGTTCTCAACCATTCGGCTCGATTTCTCACCCATTAGACAACATTAGTCAATATATTAGAATTAAAAATTAAACTTTGTTCATTAAATCACAATTTAATTAACCTAACTCAACCAATAGTCAACAACATTCACCTAATCCAACCCAATTCAGTGATCTCAATTGTTTGAATTTAAACCACAAAACCAATCTAAAGCATAGGCAGATAAAAAAAAAGAAATTAGATAAACACTCATAATTTTTTAAAAGACATAAAAATTATAATTTTATAAAAAAATGATAAAATTAATATTATAATGATGTAATTTTTAAAATACAAAAAAATTTATACATAA